TAGAGATCAAACAAGGATAGATTTCACTTGTTAACAATGAATGTGGGAGCATTAGCTAAGAAGTATGAGCTTGGGCAAAACCTAAAGAAGTAGGATTGCATCCTAGGTGGTGGCATGTGGCATAGCTATGCCATCCAAACCCTGGAAACAATGGAAATCATGTTTTGATCGACATTACATTTAGGATGTGATGTGGAGATGCATGGATATTCCTTGAAGTCTACACTCAATAGAGAACTAGAAGAAATCATTGGGAGAGCCAACTATAAAAAGGAGGGCAATAATAAAGAAGGGTTGGGTTGGGCTTCACCCCTTTTCTGAAGCATTTAAAAGTCTTCAAAAGTGTTTTAAAAATGATATTAGTGATTAATGAGAAGATTATGAGTGCCAGTAAAATTGCATTCAGTTTTAATAAGCTTTAGAGTGTTTTGGAAGGCTTTGTTTTACTTCATGGTTGGCTACTAGCAATAGGACATCCCCAAGGAATTTTGTGAAGTAATCATTGTTTGTTTCTCTCACAGCTAGCGAGATTCTCACTTGGTTGTAGTGCAATGCAATGGAATTGGCATAGCACATCACCTCCTGGCCTCAGTGTTGGTAGAGACGTTGTTAGATTGAAGCAGGTGGAAGACAGCTACAAACCCAAATGTATTTTGCGGGTTAAGAACAAGGTGCCACCTTTTCTTGGTTGGAAAAAGTTTCCAATGAACAGGATTTCTTAAAATTCTAGTGTGAAGAGACTTGTGGGTGAGATTTGCATTTGCATCAGATTAAAGAGCTCATTGGGTCTTTAGATCTTTGTCTAAAACTCTAATACTCTCACTGACTTCGTGCTTCTACATTATTGGAGGAGCTCACCTCGTATGTGGTGGAATCAAGGTGAGTTTGACTATTCCCCCTCCCTAGGTAGCACAAATGATCCAATATTGAAATTGGAGTAGACTGATTTCTCTCTGCTATAAGTTATACATGTTGTTCTAAGAGCTATTAAAAATACATTAAACCAAGGCCCTGCTACCACTAAGCATTGGCAATGGTTACAAAAATTCTGATGTGTGTAGCTAACAGAAAATTCTCTTTCATAAAGTGGCAAAATGCTTTGATTATACTGTTGATGTGGGCATGAGGGAGCTGGGATTTACACTCACTATCATACCCCATGTATTGTCTAATTTCAGACCCATCTCTCATCACAATGCATGTGAATATAGTATCAACTACAATATTCCAAAAGAGCATGGGCTCGAATGCTCATGCACCACAAAAACTTTTTTGTGGTGTGTGAGCACTCACCACACATTCAGCACAACACTTAAAAATGATATAGTGAGTATTGGTAAAAGATATTCACGCCCATTAAGGTTAAGATACATATCTCTTTCTATACAGGACAATTGCACACATTAATACTTTGTGCAAACCATTGATGGTGCTTGTCAAACCTCCTGGTTACCTTTTTCGCTTCGTGGCACCTTTAGAGCGTGTTCTTCCAACCTGTCCTTGGGTTTTAGAGCGTGTTCTTCCAACCTGTCCTCGGGTTTTAGAGCGTGTTCTTCCAACCTGTCCTGGGGTTTTAGAGCGTGTTCTTCCAACCTGTCCTCGGGTTTTAGAGCGTGTTCTTGGTGGTGTTCTTCGCTCAGCACCCCGTGGATTACCACTAGGTTCGTAGGTTGGATCAAAAGGTTCTCTCGTTTGTTTTCCTCTCCAACTCCAACTTGCAGCTGCTAGCAT